ACTTGCCAGTTGCTACCCTTTTCTTGCTTTCTAGGTGAAGATGTTGACAAAGTCTATCTTTTAAAAGCTTCAATCAATATCTATTTAGTATGGGCCTAGAATTGTAGACACTCTATCTGATAAGGTTTTACCAATTTAGAGCAGCTTGCAAGCACTAACTGAACTTGCCAGTGTTTATGGGTGACTTCTCGATGGTTTGATGAGGTGACTACAATTCTAGGCCCATACAGCCTGATTATAGCAATTGATCTTCGTAGGAAACTTTCTTGTGCTTGTGAGTAACTTCTCAATGGTTTGATGTAGTGACAATAAGGCTAGGTGCACATTACTTGATTGCTGCAGAGTAGTGGTTAGTCTTATTTGGAACCTGATATGAAATTCTTACTGACGATGAATGCAGATTTTTTGCTGATTACCGATTAACGGTCAGCTCCAAAGATGGAGATCACAAATGTCAACGAGTATCAGGCCATCGCGAAGCAAAAGTTGCCCAAGATGGTCTATGACTACTATGCATCAGGAGCAGAGGACCAGTGGACTCTCCATGAGAACCAATATGCTTTCTCGAAAATCTTGTGAGTTCTCCATGCTTTGGTGGTTATGAGTTAGCCCTGCCAGCACCAAGTTTCATTCCTTTCCAACCTATTATATCGGTATACCTTTCTAAGTGACAAGATTTTGGGCTCTAAAATTCTATTGACAAAGGAATTTCTTCGATGTGCAGGTTCCGACCCCGTATACTGATTGACGTGAGCAAGATAGACATGAGAACCACTGTCCTGGGATTCAAGATATCAATGCCTATCATGATTGCCCCAACAGCTATGCAGAAGATGGCTCATCCTGAAGGTGTTTGATCTTTTCTCTATGTCGACATACTTAAACAGCAAAAGTGAGCTCAGGGCATACTAACCACTTTTTCCCTTTTCCGTGTGCCGACAATATTGCAAATTATGCGAGCTTATTTCTTGTAGTAGAAGAAGAAACAAGTCTAATCCTTTATAATAAAGCTTGTAATTTGCTTTTAGGTCTTTGCTAACATTACAGAGAATTAGACTTCATGCCTGATGGTTTTCTGATATCTATCCAGGGGAGTATGCAACAGCAAGAGCTGCATCAGCAGTTAACACTATCATGGTAAGGTTTCTTGCACTTTAGCTCCAATTTCAATAGGTCTACTGAGTACTGCTCTGTCAAAATTGGCAGTAACTGTTTGTCGATAATACTTTCAAGTATTGTAAATACATAAATTCTTTTTATCATCTTTTTGGTGTTTGTCAAGTGACGAGGCCTAGAGAATTACTGAAGCCTATTCTAAATCCGCTAACAATTTTGTTTTTAGGATACTTTGATATGTATCATGTTGCTTCACTTATAAAATCTTCGCATTTGTGGCAGACATTATCTTCGTGGGCTACTTCTAGTGTTGAAGAAGTTGCTTCCACTGGACCTGGCATCCGCTTTTTCCAGCTTTATGTAAGCTGAATATGCTTACCTTCTTTCCTAATAGATCAGTTTGATCTTGCTGTTTGGAGATTAGATTAATCTGATGCTGACCTTTGATCCTCATGTTCATGAAATAAGGTTTACAAAGACAGGAATGTGGTAGCTCAGCTTGTGAGGAGAGCTGAAAGAGCTGGCTTCAAGGCCATTGCACTCACTGTTGATACCCCAAGGCTCGGTCGCAGAGAAGCTGACATCAAGAACAGGTGGATCTCTGACTGTCTACATAAGAAATTAGATCGGGTTCGATGTGTCTTTTGTGAATTCCACAGTGAAGAAAGGATGTATTGAATTAGAATAGGTCTGATAGGCTCCCTACAGGTTCACATTGCCACCATTCTTGACATTGAAGAACTTCGAAGGTCTAGACCTTGGAAAGATGGAGAAGGTGAGTGATAAGTCTCATTCCACTATATTTTATATTCGGTAAAAGTCTGATTTCACTAATGATTCACTCATCTGTTTGGGTTTATTCCAATGTTATTTTTTCCCTCGCAGAGTGATGACTCCGGACTTGCTTCATATGTTGCTGGTCAAATTGATCGCACTCTGAGCTGGAAGGTAAGTTAGCTTATGCAAATTGCATACAGTCTTCTTAGCTTTAAATGTCGTTGATTAGTGTGCTGTAGCAATTAGTTGGTCATGCTGGCCTCTTTAAAAAAACAATTTCAGCTCAAACCCTTTTCATGGACTGAGATTGAACATAAAATAGATGGCACTATTGCCATCTCAATCCATTCCAGAATGTTGCCTGAGTTGAGAATTTCGATACTGGTTACTCCTTAATCAATCTTTTGCCAGAAAGACGAATATCTGTTCCATCCTTGCAATGTTGCTATTCTGCTATATCAAATGGCAATGATATGAAATGAGAATTCTTAGGAACTGGGTTTAAGTGGAGTTTCTTCATCTTTTCTTCCACGTATATTCAAGCTTCTGTAATGGGGTTTGTGTAGGATGTGAAGTGGCTTCGGACAATTACCTCGCTGCCCATCCTAGTGAAGGGTGTACTTACGGCTGAGGATGGTTAGGACACTGAGACTGACCAAAGTTTGGCTGTTCCTTTTTGATGATACCACCGAGCAAAGTGAACTTACCGCGACTTTGTCTGTGCAGCTCGGCTTTCCATACAAGCTGGAGCCGCTGGCATCATCGTGTCCAATCACGGTGCTCGGCAACTGGACTATGTTCCTGCCACCATCATGGCTCTAGAAGAGGTAAGAGTACCCAAGTCATTTCCTTTTAGACATGTCCTAATAAACAGAGGCCAACTCCAACATGCCTGAGCAAGTTTCGATTCTGTCGTCATCATATTCTCATTTGAAAAAATTGTGATGTTGAGTCAGGTTGTTAAAGCTGCGCAAGGACGGGTGCCAGTGTTCCTGGATGGCGGTGTTCGCCGTGGAACTGATGTTTTCAAAGCATTGGCACTTGGAGCCTCTGGCATATTTGTAAGTTCTTTAATTATGCATATATTTGAGGCTCTCGATATGAAACTTAAACGATCATCTCAGGGGGTCCCTAGCTAGCTCCTGCTCCATGAATCTACCAAGTTCTTGGTTAAAGTCGGACTCATCTTTTGAGCTCGCTTTTTCAGATTGGACGCCCCATCTTGTTCTCATTGGCTGCAGAAGGCGAGGTCGGCGTAAGGAAGGTACTTCAGATGTTGCGAGACGAGTTCGAGCTGACCATGGCATTGAGCGGTTGCCGCTCTCTCAAAGAGATCACCCGCGACCACATCGTGACAGAATGGGATGTCCCTCGCATCCGCCCAGCGCCCCGGTTATAGATGCGGTCTCATCAGCCGAGCAAGCGCAGCATGCCGGGAGACGGGGGGATACCATCTCGAAGCGCCTGCCTGCCTTTCTACTATGGACAAACACTTTTTTTTAGCTTCGCTCAATCATGCGCTGTGTTTGAAGATTTATAAGCTAATCTAAACCATGGTGAATGGTTATTATTTCGTGGCCATCTGCTCCGTGCTGTATATTTTGTTACAATCAGAATTCCAAGTACTCGCTCTCTTTCTTTTCAGGGTTACAGAATGGCCAAAATTATTCCATGGTTTTCTTATTCTTCAGCTTCTGAAATCTCTTGCAGCCTTGAGTTTGATGAAGCATCGATTCGTACATCATAACTGCACAGTATATGCCAATCCGAAAGAAGAAAATAACTTGATTGCAGTCTCGCAGACAACGAAACATTGTCGATTTTTACTGTGTTGCATACTTCTTCTGTCATGTTACAGCGTGTTAGATATCGATAGAAACGTCGTAATCTTTTCGATAAAAAATGTGAAGAAAAAGTATAAGGTATCGTGGAACGTGTGGGGCGGCCTTTACATAGGGCATTCGCATTTCCCCCTAACTCAAGTTGGTATCTAATTCGGAAATTGACAATGCCCGGCATACAATGAGTAAATAAAAGAAAATGAATTTCCAATATCTCTAATGGACTTTATGAGATTTAAAAAAGTTTTGCACTTCATCTTTTATCACTTTTAAAAAAATGATGAATCGAACATTCTTATTGTCTAAACACCTAATATATCATATTTGTGTATTTCTTTAAGTATATTTGATAGCTTATTAGTGCTCGATCAAAGGTTGATAACACAGACGATATTTACCGAGTCAGATAAGTTGACTAGTCAAAGAAATGTGGAGGAAGAAAAACTAGGTAAAGAATTGGTCTTGCATAGAAATTATTAGCAATGTCTACAAGATCACTAAACGAATTTTATGATATTTAAACCTGTTAAATTGAATTTAGAAACCGTATTGGCTGTAAAAAGGAAAAATTGAGGAAGTTGTAGTATCGAGTATGGTCTTATTGTTGAAATAAATTAGTCAATATTCCATTAGCTGTCACAAATATAGTAATAGTAGCATGTTTATACGTGGCGTAGCATAATATTAGTCTTTTCTTTCAAAGAATGAATTATGGTGGTGAAATTGAATACTTTTAAGTTTTAACAATGAAGTTGAAAGGTTAAATATGTGAGTTCTCTTTTGAAATTCACAAACAAACAAAGAATGGGCATTGACTATTCGTTATTTACTATATATTTAAAAAATATTAAATGTAAAAGAGACAACTTTCAATATCTAACAATTTCAAGGGATAATTTTACAAATGATCCCTAAACTTTGTTCTAACGTGCAATATTGTCTTTGTACTTTTAATTTATGCGATGTGATTCCTGAATTTTAGCTCAATGTCGTTCCTAAACTTTTAATTTGTTTAATGTGATCCTTAAACTATTGATAAATTTTCAATATAATTTATAAATTATATGAAAATGTTTAAAGTTCATGGACCATGTAGGATCAAGTTGAAGAAATTAAAAATTGAGTAATGAAATTACATATTAAATGAAAGTTTATGGATTATTTGTCTCATTTTTCCCTTACTCCAATAAGCTGAATTCAACAAAAAAAATTCCAAGTTAAATTACCCAACAACAATGCCAAGAGGGTGGTCAATCTGGGGTGATCGGGGTCAACTATTTTTTGTCTCCAGTTCGTTTCTTCGACCCTTCCTTTCTCTTTCGACGGAGAACAGGCACTTCCCGTCCGATAGACAGTCGGCGCGGCGAACATCTCCGATCCCTTTGCGATCGGCGTTCCGATCCTTCGCTCGCCGGGCTCCGGAGGCTTAAAGTCATCGGCTGTGTCGAGTCTCTCTTGATCGAATCGTCCGATGGAGGCGTTGGGCAAGAGGACGGGCGGAAGAGGCAGAGCTTGCGTGGTCGTCTTGGGCGACTTCGGCCGGAGTCCTCGGATGCAATATCACGCCCTTTCCCTTGCTCGTCAGGTTCCTCCCACCTCTGCCTCGCGGGGCGTATCTTGTTCCTGTGTTCGATCGTTCTCGAGAACAGCCCCACACGTGGGCTCGTGTTTCGTGATTCCCGCCGTGGATTTGGATTCCATGTCGATCTCACTAACATTACGCGGCTTGACTGACTGTGTGAGGCGATGGAATATCATTTGCAGTCTTCGCGGTGTCGGCTTTGCAATTGCCCATCTGATTCTTTAGTGTCTCATCTCTGCTTGCTCAATTTCTTACGTGTGCCCAGTAGTGTCTGATTTTCTGCACTATTCATTTGCGAGCTGGGTGTTTTGCAGGCATCTTTGGAGGTCGATGTTGTTGCGTACGGAGGTAGGGTTCTTCTGTTGTTGATGGCTTGGTGGTCTATCTGATGATAACCTCATGCTCGTATTGAAAAGTATCTGCATTGTCAATATGCTAACCCAGGGTGTTATTAAAGATTGGTACGGTACTTGAGGACTCCGAGTGTGAAAGTTCAATTTTTTTTCAGCAGCATCGAGTATAATCCAGGGTGGATTCAAATAGATAATTTCTTAATTGGTACATCCCGTGGCGATTTCTTACCCTAATGAAATGAATGCGTTTTATTTGAGCTTCGTTTCAACGAGTTCATCCGCAAATGAAATACCCATTTGGCTCGTGGAAGTGAATTGGTAGAAAAGAAGTTAAATTCGCACAGTAGACATGATTAAAGAGAACATATAGAAGAGTTTGCTGACATGTTGGGCTGATCTATTGTACTATGCTTAGGTTCTGTTACAATGGGTGAGAACGTCCATCTTTAATTTTGTTTTTTTAAAAGACTCTGTTTAGAGTAATCTTTTCTTCATGGACAGGTTCTGAGCCGCATAAGGCTGTTCTAGAGCATGAGTCTATTCATATCCATACCATGGTACATGTTGGAGTTTATTTCTATATGTTGATACCAAATACCTGCTTCTAATAAAGAAGTAATGACAAAATCATACTACTTATGATGGAGTCATTGATTGTATATCTTTTCTGGTTCCAGGTGCAATGGCCGAGAGTTATGCAGGGTTGGCCAAAGATATTGCGTCCATTGATGCTTGTGATGAAGCCGATATATCAGCTTATCATGCTCCTTTGGTTTTTATTCATCAAAGTACCTGCTCCTGATGTTTTTCTTGTGCAGGTGAGTTTCAAATGTTTTAAAAGAGAAAAATATATTTCGTCTTAGTTGGGTTGTAAGTCTCCACGTGTAAATTGCTTATTTGGCAACCCATATCTGAGAATCTTCGGTGGTTTTGCAAATGCTTCTGTCGTAAGCCATATCCCATTTATAATTGGTGAGCTATTCTGTTCAATTACTGCTCGAGAGAGCCATTTCTGAACTTATTATATGATTGGCTTTTACAGAATCCACCTTCAGTTCCGGCCTTGACTGCTGTTGCATGGGCCAGCTGGATAAGGCATTCAGCATTTATTGTTGATTGGCATAATTTTGGATACACTTTACTGGCTTTGTCTCTGGGAAGAAGTAGTCTATTTGTGGTGGTATACCGCTGGTATATATTGAGTTACCTTACAGAAGTCTGCTTAATGGAGCTCTCTTGTGCATAAAATCTCAGTTTTCTATCTTTATAGGTTTGAGAAACACTATGGGAAGATGGCAAACGGTTCATTTTGCGTTACGAGAGCAATGCAACATGAATTAGCTCAGAATTGGGGAATTAAGTAAGATGGTCAGAGAAATATTTGGAAATTGTCTTATTGTGACCTCGCGAGTTATATTCTTGAGCCTGCTAATAATTTTTAGTTTCCACTTCTGTTTGTAGAGCAGCAGTTTTGTATGATCAGCCTCCTGAATTTTTCCACCCTGCTTCCCTCAAGGAAAAGCATGAGGTGATGCACCCTTTTCTTGCTTTTTTCCCCTGGACGTTTCTTTTGCTCTTTTGAACTTTATCAAACTGAACAGATCACTTGACTATTAGATAATTGTAGTTGTTCAATAGATCAGTTAAAAGTAACTGAACGGATAGCTTTTGGATCATTGTAGTTATTTTGCAGATTGGATAAAAATTTCCAGTTGCCCCTTGGTGTCCGGGACTGTTTTAGCTGTGGTAACATCTTCTGTCGAGGGAATGTTTACTTGTCCTTTTTAGATATAATATCAGTGCATTTATTTTACGCTCTTCAATTTGCTTGCAGAATCTACCATGACAGGAGACTCTACCTCAGATGAGACCCTATTTACCGCTCTAGTCAGCTCTGATATTTGTGTGAAGGCAAACAGGCCTGCCCTTGTCGTCAGTAGTACAAGCTGGTACATCATTCTTTTTAATTTTTGTCAGCCTTTTACCTATATACTGAAGGGCATTTTAAGGCCTTTGCAGTAATATCCTTTGTTTGTTTATCACTTTGCGTTACATCTTTTGGGTTTGTTGTTTCACGGAAACTAGTTAGCTGTCTAAACAAGTTCAGAATAAACAAACACATATATCTTCTTGCGCATGCATACAAACACACTCATGACTATGCAATGTGTGTGTGTGTGCGCACTTTCATGTTGGAGTTGAGAATAATTCTGAAGACTAGATCTATTTGAGCAAACACACTCATGACTATGCAATGTGTGTGTGTGTGCGCACTTTCAAGATGGAGTTGAGAATAATTCTGAAGACTAGATCTATTTGAGCATGATGTTGAGTTGCATCTCCATTTCTTGCTGTAATTTATCCCCAGTTTTTTTTTTACCACTATAGTTAGATATATTCCTCATAAAGGATACCTATTTGAATATGGCTTTTCATTGCAGGACGTCAGATGAAGACTTTGGCATCCTCCTGGAAGCAGCAGTTATGTATGATAGAAGAGTTGCTGCAATTTTAAATGAAGACGACTCTACTGACAAAGAGGTTCTCTGGACAGAGATGCACCACGGAAAGAAATACCTCTACCCCAGGTTGTTATTTGTAATCACAGGTAAGGGTAAATCTAGTTCTTTATGAGACATGAGTTCACTGTCATTTTGGCTTTTTTAATCTTGAAAGAATTTATACAGGTAAAGGGCCTGACAAAGAAAAGTACGAACAGAAGATAAGAAAGTTGAATCTTAAACGGGTGGCATTTAGGACCATGTGGCTATCTGCTGAAGATTATCCATTGCTACTTGGTATCCGTTGAAGTACCTCGTAGATCTGCCAAGCTTCATTAGTCTGCTGATCATTTTGATTTTGCTCATAATTTTCCCCCTTAATTTCAGGATCAGCAGATCTTGGTGTGTGCTTGCATACTTCTTCATCTGGTTTGGATCTTCCAATGAAGGTTTGATTTACAGCTGTGTTGGAGTTGTACCATTTACAATACCTCCTTTCGTGGAATCATCTTTTTATTTTGTTCCTATGTCAGGTTGTGGACATGTTTGGTTGCGGGCTGCCTGTGTGTGCTGTTTCTTACTCATGGTAGACCCACTGGCCTACCTTCGATTGCAGAATTTGAGCATTGTTTGTGTCATATTACATTGTACACAATGGTTGTCATTTTTTTTTTAAATTCTTCTACTATTGGTTTTGAAGCATTAAAGAGCTAGTGAAAGTTGAGAAAAATGGCCTCCTCTTCTCGTCATCTTCGGAGCTAGCTGACGAACTTTTGGTATGCCCTGAAATCTTTTTTCAATTTTTCTATAAGGATGAATTATGTTTCATTGATTATTATGTACCATAAGCTTGATATATTTGGGGCATTTTGAGGCATTCAACTAATTGCTGTAAGATAAACCTACGAAATTCTCTACCGGCATTGATATTTCAAATTGCCAGATGGCTTGCTAATTTCTATTCTTATTTCTCGGTTGTGGTATATAGTGATCTGATACATACTCTTTGTACGATTATGTGAGATTATGTTTTGTGCCGTTGAAAATGTGCAGATGTTGTTCAAGGGTTTTCCGGATGATAGTGATTCATTGAAGCTGCTGAGGGATGGTGCACAGGAAACAGGAGCCTCTTCAAGGTGGGCTACAGAGTGGGAAGAACATGCCAAGCCATCATTATTGGAGGCAAGTGCGCTTTCTTCACATAGGATTGCGTACTCACTGTTTAAGTATTGGTTGTGACTAAAATTTCTCAAGCGATCTTTCCGAACTTCAGAGGATCTTATTTCTTCTTTGCGTCACTGCATGGTCTGTTGTCACATTAATCATCATTATTGGTGCACCGATAATCCAGAATGCTCCCTCTTGTGCTTTCTACTCTCTTACTAGAGAGTCTTTAATATTTGTGTAATATATGACCCATATTTCAGAATTTATGGGCTTATTTAATTGCAGGTTATTTCTCAGAAGTATGAGTGATTTCCAGCTGTCAATTGCAATGTCAATTTTCTCAGTCTAGGTAATGTTATTCTCAGCTTTCATATTTTGCCCATTGGTTTATCGCTATAAATGCTGATTGATGTGTTAGGAATCACAGAAGTGGAGGGCATATCTATTTTTACTGTGGAAGACTGAATTGTACTTGACTCTTCTGCGTTAAGATTTATTTTTTGTGTCTGTGTTGATGATCACTATTGTTTTGGCTGGATATATGCTTATGTGACATTTTAAGGGTGGTCTAATTTAAAAACATGATTGGTTCCATCCACAGCATTCAGCAGCCGAAGTCCACTTGAGAAGGGAGGTTGCGCAGCTCTGTCATTTCTGGTTTCAAACCATTTAGGCTGTCAGATCAAATGGCAGGAGGATTCTTTAACTTAAAATGCAGATGTGTTCATCAGCCAAGGTGGAAAAACACTCCTCTGTCGCACTAGCTTTGGATGTGTTGCCATCTGTTTTTCTGGGCTTTTAGGGTGCGCATGAATACCATTCTGTGCCCGGAAACTATTTCTGAACAGAAATGATTTTTTTTTATTCTGTACTCGGAAACAATTTTTGAGTATTTGAAGGCGTTTGATAAACTGTCCAAAATTTCTATTCCTAGAGTAGAAAAGAACATAAATGTGTTTGGTAACTATACAAAATTTCTGTTCCCAAATAATATTTTAATAATATTTTGAATTGTTTAATTTTTTTTTTCTTTCTACCCATTTTCTTCTTTGGCCATGGCCGGTCGCCGGCGACCGGCAACCGGCGGCCGGCGACCCACAGCCCAGGGAAGAACAACACAAAAATAAGAAAAGAAAAAAAAGAAAAAGAAGAAAAAAAAAACTGATTCTCAAAGTTGTGCCGAGAAACAAGAAGCAACTTTTTTTTACTTCTTGTTTCTCTTCCAAAACTGTTTCTCGGCACAAATTTTTGCAAAAATTTGTGCCCGGGAACAAAAAGTTTACCAAATGCATTTCTGTTCCCAAACTATTTCTGGGAACAAAAGAACAGAAATTTTCACTGTTTGGCATGTTGCCAAACGGGCCCTTAGTCTCCTTTGATGTAAGCAGTTTTGCTGATTGTTTCATTACTCTATGGACATTCTCCGTCTCGCTTGGGCTTACTGAAACAATGATGGGAAAGTGGGTTTACTTAGTTTCAATTTGTATGCTTGACGGCGCTGAATTTGGCTGATCTTTAACTCCATAGATAACATTACAAGTTTACAACGTGTGCGTTAGATTTTGATTATGTTTTGATAATTATATGATCTGGACACCTACGTGGAGATGGCCCATAATAAGAACAGGAAAATATTTTGAAGGCTGATACTGTCCAACTCTCCCATCAGATTTGGTTAGATGTTTTCTTTTTTTGGTTTGATTTGGTTTAAACTTTTTGGCGTGTTTAGATCGGGTAATCAGTCAAATTAAGAAATTACGGACAGGAGCTCCTTAATTTTTCTTAGATTTATTAGATTTGTTGCTAAAATATTGGTATTAAACCCAAAACACAGCAAGTCTAAACCATCAAATTTATTTTTTTACCCTGGATAAGACCCAAAGCAGTGCTTAAAATCCGAAAAGGCAAGAAACTGTCAGCCATACGGGATTTGCAACTTTTTTCATGAAATAAATTTTCCTTTTAGGGTGCGAATGATAACCATTATATTCCAGAAATAATTTCTGAGACAGAAATAGATTTTTCTATTTCTGTTTTCAGGACGAGTTTCTGAGAAAAGAAACCCGTTTGATAACGACAAAAAATTTCTATTTCCGGAACAGAAACTCGTTTGATAATAGCATAAAATTTCTATTTCTTGAAACAGAAACTCATTTGATAACAACACAAATTTCTACTTCCCGAAACATAAATCCATTTTTTTAGAACCCCTTTTAGGATTTTTTAGGGGTTAAAACCCCTTTTAAATTCATAAACTAAGGAGTCTTCAAAAATACCATATGGGCACTTCAAAAAATTTAAATTTTATTCAAAGTAGGTGGCCACAGGTATTCTAAGCCATCCTGTGAAGTTTTGAAGTTTTTTATTTTTTGATTTTTTTTGAAAAAATTCACCAAATTTCCTATTTTCCCTAAATCTGACTTTTTTTTTATTTTCTGGAAATTTTTATGAATTTTTCTGGAATTTTTCAATTTTTTTGAGATTTTTAGAAATTTTCCGGATTTTCTAAATTTTTTTATGAATTTTCTGAATTTTTTGATTTTTTTTTCTGATTTTTCTAATTTTTTCTGAATTTTCTAATTTTTTTTAGAATTTTTTTATTTTCCCGCCGGAAATGAACCGGACCGAACTAGTTCTAATCGGTCTGACTAGGTCAGACCGGGGCCAAATTTAGGAAGAGTTGTGTTTTGAAGAGAGAAGACAGGTTCTTTTAGAAATGATTTTCATTTCTTGTCCAGAAATAGAAAACCTACTTTTTTATTGTTCTGATTTTTGGTTCAGAACCAATTCTGGAACAAGAAATTGTTCCAGAAATAGAAAAATGGAATTGCGTTACCAAACGGGTTTCTGTTTCAAACATGTTTCCGGAAACAGAAAACTAGTTCTGGACAGAAATAAAATAGTTATTATTCGTGGCCTCAGTAATCAATTCATGAGCCGTTTTTTTCCTTCGCACTTTCATAAAACCTAGGTGATTTCCGATGAAAAAAAGAAAAGGAAAGGGTGATGCTGTAGGACAGAGAAATTTTTTTTGCGAAAAGGAAAATATGTACTTGAAGACCATAAATTGCAATTTAAACTTGAAGTTTGTAAATTTTAAAAAGGTTCCATGTTCTTATTGACTTCAAATTACAACAAACCTCGATCCGTCGTGTAGAGGTATCTTATTTTGTGAGGTAGCTGCTTAAAATGTAATTTCTCTTTTCCTAAATTATATGGTCATGTATAGCTTACGTGAGCGTGAGCATGTCTTATTATTTTCTTGCGGTAACTTCTCCAAACGAAAAATGAAAAGAGACAAAACAAAAAAGGGCGAAAGTCACCAAAAGCAATAAAAGCATGTTCATTGTGACATATTTATTATAAATTTTTTTCTGCGACACTAAAAATTTCTAAATTTGTACCTACGTACACATTTACGCTCAATCAAAAATGTTAAAAATTTAACAATATTGTTTTGGCCGAAAAATTATCTACGTAAATGTGGGCATAATTTGTGTGGGGTTTTAAATGTCATTAAAAAAAGTTTGGAATAAATACGTGAGGGTGCTATGGTTTTGAAATTTTTTCGTAAGAGGAGCAAACAGGAGGGAAGAAGAGACCCGCTTGGCGGCAGCAGAAGAGTCTCCTTCAGTCGAGAAGGGTTTCTCTGTTGCAGGAAGGAAACACACTCTCCACCATCAACGGAGCAGCTCGTCGTCGTCGTCATCGGAGAAGCCCATTACCAAATATCTTAACCTTCAGCCATAAGTGGAGTGCCTCCAGCCGAAGCGATCTGCTCCCGAAAGCGAATTTATCAGTGTTAAGTGGTCAGACTCAATGAGTGAAAGTCTTTCTCCCCGTTCGCGATTAGGGTTTCCACCAAAGACATGCCTTCCGTTTGAGCTGTCTTGGGCAAAATACAGCTCTGATGGCCCCTTCCGTAGAGCCTTCCAAGGAAGGAGCCATCGATGTTTACTTTAAGAACGCCCGGTGCCGTGCTCCGCCTGATGCTCGTTCTCAATTTTAAGACATTGGTGGTGGTGATGGGGACGTGGGTCGCCGCCCCTGCAGTTGTTGTAAGGTGCACCAAGAAGCAGCTCCTCTCTTCTTTCTCCTCCTCCTTCCCCAAACCCAAGTTCCTCTCTGCCTCCGCATGTCTCCTCGACTCCGACCCTCCCGACTCTTCCGCTTCCGCCGCCGCCGCCGCAGCGAGCCAGCTTAAGCGCCACCCCGACCCTGACCCCGACCTCGCCTTCTCCTTCTTTCTTCGCCTGGATTCCCGTGGCTTCCCTCTCGACCCTCCCACTTATGCCTCCCTCATCTCCATCCTCTCCCCCGCCGCCTCCCGCCCCCGCCTCGATTTCGTCTTCTCCCGCCTCGTCGCCTCCTTCCATGCCGCACGGCGCTCTGCTATTCCTTCCTTGCTCGATTCCCTTGCTCTGCTGGGCGGCCCCCCTCTCCTGCTTCGCTCTGTCGATCTCCTCATCAGGGCCTATGTTCGGGCTGGCCTCTTCGACGATGCTATCGATACCTTGTTCCGCTTCGAGTGGGGCGCCCTCATTCCCCGCGTCTCCACCTGTAATTTCCTCCTCGACCGCTTGATCGACAGCCGCCATCCCGCTGCCGCCATCGCTCTGTACGAGCAGTTGAAGCGGCTCGGTTTTATCCCCAATGAGTACAGCTATGCCATCTTGATCAAGGCTCTTTGTAGGACTCGCGACTTGGAAGAGGCGGAGCAAGTCGTGGTCCATATGGAAGAGCATGGCATTGTCCCCGACGTGTACTGCTATGCTGCCTTGATTCATGGCCACTGCAAGAGTTCCAATTTGGCGCGAGCTTTGGAAATCCACTTTTATATGCGGTCAAAAGGAATCAATTCCAACTGCTTCATCATCAGCACCCTTATCCAGTGCTTCTGTGATATGGGCAAGCCTGATGAAGCAGTGCAACTGTTTAACGAGTTCAAATCGGACATTTTTCTGGATAATATCACATACAACATGGCTGTCGGTGCTCTGTGCAAGCTGGGTAGAGTGGAAGCGGCCGCAGAGTTACTTGAAGAGATGAAGGGCAAGGGGATGGTTCTTGATATCGTGCACTACACAACTTTAATCAATGGCTATTGTCTCCAGGGCGACATTTGCAGTGCCTTGAAAGTGCTCGAGCAAATCATGGAGAGAGGGCTTCAGCTTGATATTGTCACTTACAATGTACTTGCCCATGGATATTCTCGGACAGGACTTGTGAGGGAGGCGCGTGAGCTTCTAAGATGTATGGACGCTTGGGGTGTGAAACCCGATGTTGTCACACACAACATGATAATTGAGGGTTTATGTATTTCAGGTAAAGTGGAGGAAGCTGAAGTGTTTTTCTCTGGCCTGCAAGAGAAGAGCGCCGCAAATAAAGTTGCCATGTTCGAAGGGTATTGCCAAGCCAACCATTCGAGAAGGGCCTTTAAACATTTCAAGGAGTTATCAGAAGCAGAAAAAAAGTCAGTAAAGAAAAATTCCTTCTTCAAATTGGTTGCTGCTCTTTGCAAAGCTGGTGATATGAGAAATGCAAAGTGGTTGTTTGATAGATCGGTGGAGAAGGGACTAACCCCTGATGTTGTGACCTATACGTTAATGATTGATGGATACTTTAATGCAAATCGCATGCAGGAAGGGCTTTTTCTTTTCGATGACATGAAGAAGAGAGGGGTCGAGCCTGATGTTGTCACCTATACGGTAATGATAGATGGATACTTTCATGCAAATCGCTTGCAGGACGGACTTGATCTTTTTGATGAAATGAAGAAGAGAGGGGTTGAGCCTGATGTTGACATCTATACGTTAATAATAGATGGATACTTTCATGCAAATCGCTTGCGGGAAGGGCTTGATCTTTTCCTTGAAATGAAGAATAGAGGGGTCGAGCCTGATGTAATTGCTTGTACAGTGTTACTTGATGGCCTTTCAAAGGTAGATCTCTGAAGGAAACGTTCCCTCCACAATAGAAACAAAATAAAGAGAGTAACAGGGATTCCCGAGCAAATAATGTCATCAAAAACTCTTTTGCTGGAGATGAATCTTTTGTGCTGTTTTGATTGACAGGCTTTGTAAGCTTGGCAACATTGAGGAAGCCGAGGATTTATTGAGGGAATTGATTCAAAGTGGGCTTCAGCCAGATGTGGTAACTTACACATCTCCTATATCTGGCTGCTGTAGGAGGGTTGGCGGCGGGGGGGGTGGGGGGGGGGGGTGACCATGGAAAGGGCTGAATAACTAAATGTTGTGTAAGGGAATTGTACCTGGTATGTGGACCATCTCTGTTTTGGAGTCTGCTGAACCTGAACTTGAAGCCTGAAAAGTGCAGATACTGAGGCAAGTAAGTGACAAAATCAAACAAATACTAGGTGCTGATCTCATAGTGCTTAAAGAAAAAGTGTGGGATATATAGAGTATCTGTTCTTGTGTCTGTTGTCAAAGCATGTAATTTACTCATCTAGAGGTAGTTTATGTATTTTACAGGTGACAAGAGCAAGAGCAGAGCGTCTTTCCTTAAATGTGATACGACACTGTATAGAGAGCGGAAGCTTTTTGCAAATTCGTGGAAATGCTGGTATGCCTTGGCTTCTTTCATAGATTTAAATCCAGCAATGCATAATCTCTGCATTATTTTTTTGCTGACTCTTTTGTAACATGTTTTTCAAGATTTGAGGTGTTCAATAATGAAATTTTCATCTATCCCCATTCTCTGATTAGAAAACCTACATTTTGCCCCTGTTTTAGATTGTTTAATTTTCCAGTTTGGTTAATGACAAGCTCTATAAGCCATATTGTTTAATCTAGCTTGATTTTGCTTCTAGAAACACCAGATAGATTATTAAGATCTTCTTTAATAGGAAGTGTTGGTATTTATATAAGAAGGGATGTGGGTTTGTGATTCCTCTGAAAGACGGAGGACGTTAAAACCTTCTGACGTAGCCTCCAGTGAGTGTCTAAGCAAAAAACTTAGGATAAGCTTCCCAGTAAGGATGAATGAAATAGTTTTGACAAGTTCATGTTGATTTCATTTTCCATGTTCTGTATATACTTTGAAAACTCTTGCTGTCTAGATGTCATGGCCAATCTCTGCAACTATTTGGCCGAAGGAATATTTGGTAATTTCAAACATTTGGGCTACTTGAAATTACAGCATTTTGGATGGTCATTGAATTCCTTTTTTTTAAGACTAAGATAAGATATCATCTACACTTCTCTAATTCATCCATTGCACTCACATGGCAACCATTCTTTTCATCCTGCAAAATGGTGACAAGATATATGAAGTGCACTGTTAGTTTATTTTGATCTTCTGTTCTCACTGCCACTTCATTTATACATCTTCCTTGCTAAAAAGGCATCAACATACTTGACTTTTTACGTTCTTCCATAAAAAGCAAGAGAGAAGACGAACTCTCGGTCTTCGTTTATAATGCTCATTTATCCCATTTTGAGCTATTTGTTGACCACATATTATTTGCAAAAAGCATAGGTAGGGGATATGCCAATGTGTTTTCAATCAGTCTAGGGTTAGTGGTATACCAATTTCATGGTCTTTGGTGTTGATTGCGTGGAAGGTTTCACCAAAGTATTTTGCGAGTATTTCATCTTTCTTTTCAATTTTCTGGGTGCTCATTATTTCTCCTTGTTTGTGGCTGTTTGTTACATTCCTTTTTTCCTGCACAACATTTCTTAGGAAACGTTTTAGTTCCTATACCTTCTTCCACCTAAGTATTGTGGCCTGCACTTGAACTTCAAATTGGCTAATCATGGCAGACAATTGTATTACTTATAAATATTGCTAGAACATAGATGATGGTTCCACTCCTGTAATACCAAAAGTAGTAGTTTTTAATTTCTTACTACGGGAAAGAAGAATTAGCATGTTTAGGCTGCGCATGGCAACCATTCTGTGCCCGGGAACAGATTCTGGTCAGAAATGATTCTTTTTTATTCTGTGCTCGGAAACTGATTCTGAACATTTGAAGGCGTTTGGTAACGGCCCAAAATTTCTGTTCCTGAAATAGTTAAAGAACAGAAATGCATTTGGTAACGGCATAAAATTTCTTTTTATTAATAATATTTTAATAACATTTTAAATATTTTAATATTTCTTTCTTTTCTTTTTTTCTTTTCCTCCTTCTTGGCCATGGCCGGTAAAATGTTTTTTAATTAATAATACTTTTATTAAAAATATAATTTTTATTTTTTTGGCCATGGCCGGTAAAAATTTTTCTTATAAATAATTTTTTGATTAATAATTTTTTTAAAAATATTTTACTAAAAAATATTTTTATTGAAAATATTTTTTTCTTTTTTTTTTCGCCATGGCCTGGTCGCTGGCCATGGCCGGTAAAATATTTTTTTATAAATAATTTTTTTATTAATAATATTTTAATAAAAAAAAATTTTATTGAAATTATTTTTTTTATTTTTTTTGCCATGTCCTGGTCGCTGGCCATGGCCAGTAAAATATTTTTTTATTAATAATATTTTAATAAAAAATATTTTTATTGAAAATATTTTTTTTATTTTTTTCGCCATGGGTTGGTCGCTGGCCATGGCCGGTAAAATTTTTTTTATTAATAATATTTTGATATTTTTTTCGCCATGGCCTGGTCGCTGGTCATGGCTAGTAAAATTTTTTTTATTAATAATATATATTTTTTATTTGTTTCTCCATGGCCTGGTTACTGGCCATGGCCGGTAAATTTTTTTATTAATAATATTTTTTTATTAAAATATTTTAATCTCGCCAGATACGGCGAGGGTGGCCCTCGCGCCGGACATTATTTTCTATTATAAAAAACAAGAAAAGGAAGAAGAAAAAAACTGATTCTCATTTTTGTTCCCAGAATCAAGAAGCTACTTTTTTTTTATTCTTGATTATGCTCTAAAACTGATTCTGGGCACAAATTTGCAAGAATTTGTGCCCAGAATCAAAAAATTAAACAAACGGATTTCTATTCCCAAACTGATTCTGGGAACAAAAGAACAGAATCAAACACTATTTGGCAAGTTGTCATGCGCAGCCTTAACTTCTCTAGATGCCATTCTGATTCTTTAGTGGTATACCAATTTCATAACGCTGCTTGACTGTGTGAGGTGATGCCATCTGATTCTTTAGTGTCATTTGGAATGTCTGCTAATCTCTGCTTGCTCAATTTCTTACGTTCCAGTGTCTGATTTTTGCACTATTCATTTGTGAGCTGGGTGTTTTGCAGGCATCTTTGGAAGTCGATGTTGTTGCGTATGGAGGTAGGCTTCTTCTGTTGATGGCTATGACGATACTGGTAGCTCAAGAGTTTGGTTCTTGGTCTATCTGAAGATAACTCCATGCTCGTTTTGAAAAGTATCTGCGTTGTCAGTATGCTAACCCAGGGGGTTATTGAAGATTAGTACAGTACTTGAGGACGTCGAGTATGAAGGTTCAATTTTTTTTCAGCAGCGTAGAATATTATTCGGGGTGGATTCAGATAGATAATTTCTTATTTGGTACATCGTGTGGCGATTTCTTACCCAATTGAAACGAATGCGCTTTCTTTGAGCTTCGATTCAACAAGTTCATCCAAAAATGAAATTAGAAGAAAAGAAGTTAAATACGCACAATTGATGTGATTGAAAAGAACATTTTCTAGAGTCTACTTATGATGGAGTCATTGATTGTATATTTTTTCTGGTTCCAGGTGCAATGGCCGAGAGTTATGCAGGGTTGGCCAAAGATATTGCGTCCATTGATGCCTGTGATTAAGTGGATATATCAGTTTATCATACTCCTTTGGTTTTTATTCATCAAAGTACCTGCTCCTGATGTTTTTCTTGTGCAGGTGAGTTTCAATTTTTTTTAAAGAGAAAAAATTAGATTTGGTCTTAGTTGGGCTGTAAGTCTCCATGTGTAATTTGCTTCTTTTGCAAGCCATATCTGAGAATCTTTGGTGCTTTTGCAAATGCTTCTGTAGCAAGGTCCCCAGTCTTTTTATCACTATGGTTAGATGTATTCCTCATAAAAGATACCAATTTGAATATGGCTTTTCATCGAAGGTAGTCAGATGAAGACTTTGGTATCCTCCTGGAAGCAGTATATATGAATGATAGAAGAGTTGCTGCAATTTTAAATGAAGACGACTCTACTGACAAAGAGGTTCTCTGGACGGAGATGCACCGCGGAAAGAAATACCTCTACCTCGGGTTTTTATTTGTAATCACAGGTAAGGGTAAATGTAGTTCTTCATGAGACACGAGTTTACTGTCATTTTGGCTATTTTAGTCTTGGAAGAATCTATACAGGTAAAGGGCCTGACAAAGAAAAGTACGGACAGAAGATAAGAAAGTTGAATCTTAAATGACCGTAAGCAGTCTTGCAGATTGTTTCATTATCCAATGGACATTCTCCGTGTCGCTTGGGCTACTGATACAATCATGGGAAAGTGGTTTCGTTACTTCGTTTCAATTTGTACGCTTGACGGCACTGACAATGGCCGATCTTTAACTCTTGAGAGAACATTACTACGTGCCGTTAGATGTTGATTATGTTTTTGATAATCATATATTATCCGGACACCGCACATGGAAGTGGCCCAAACAAAGAACAGGACGATGCTTCGGTGGCTGATACTGTCCAACTCCAATTTTTTCCTTCACACTTTCATGAGCTAACTGGGAAGACAATATGTGCATGAAGACCGTAAATTGCGATTCAAACTTGATGTCTGTAAAATTTTTGAAAGGTCCCCATGTTCGTAGTGACTTTGGTTTACGACAGCCACGGCCCGTCGTGTAGAGGTAATAGCGGGTTAAAAAGGTCATTTTTCTTTTTCTACATTATAATAATTGCTAAATTCTGGTCATGTGTTAGCTTATGTGAGTGCGAGCATGGCTTGTAATTTTGTTACCGTCACTTTTCCTAGATAGTATAAAAGAAAATCAAGTTTAGGGTTTTCATTTAAAGAAAGAAAAACGAAAAGAGACAAATTTAAAAAGAAAGAGAAATTCTACTTGCCATTCTGTTTTTTTTATTATTTTATTCTTCTGTTCTTGGAAATAGATTTGGAATAAAAATTAGTTTCACAAAACAATTTCATTTTTCATTTTGTGGAAAAAATTTTTAGCTCAGAAATAGGTTTGAAATAAAAATAAGAATTTGAAACTTTTCTATTTTTGGAATGGAAACATAAATAACAATTCGTCTCAGAGCTCGCCCTCGTCGTTGTTGACTGCCCGTCATCATTGCTCGTCGATGTATGAATTCTACATCAATGCTATCACCGCTATTGAGAATAGAAATTTTGTGTCGTTATCAATTACTACTTTCTGCTCAGAAGTTTGTCCACGGAATAGAAATAAACAAAATTATTTCTTGAGCTTGAGAGCATAATGGTTATTATTCACGCTCTAAATTTTCATGGGAAAAGTACCAAAAAAATCCTAAACCTATTGCATTGGTACCAATTCAATCATAAACCTTTCAATTGGATTAATATAGTCCTAAACTTTTTTATATTGGTACCAATTCAGTCTGTCTGGTCAATTTAAGCTGAAAATCGCTGACATGGATGCCGGCGGTCTTACGCGGCACAACCGACGCTGACGTAGATATTTTTAAATAAATTTTTGAATTTTTATTTTATTTTCCCTTTTCTTTCTTTTTCTTTTTTCCTTTCCTTCCTCTTCCCTTCGTCGGTCGCCAGCCTCCACGATGACTGGCAGAGGCCACCAGTGGCTGGAGAGGGCGAGGGCATCCCAACTTTCGTCGGCCCTCGCCAAAGGTGGGCCTCCCCTGTGGTCGGCAAGGGCATCCTGGCCCTCGCCCTCACTGGCTGCTGGCGGCCTCTGCCGGTCACCGTGGAGGCTGGCGACCGGTGGAGGGAAGAGGAAGGAAAGAAAAAAAAATGGAAAGGAAAAAAGAAAAGAAAGAAAAGGGAAAATAAAAATAAAAAATAAAAAATTCGAAAAATTATTTAAAATGTCTACGTTAACGATTTCCAGCCTAAATTGGCTGGATGGATTGAATTGGTACAAATGTGAAAAGGTTTAGGACTAATTTGGTCCAATTGAAAGATTTATGACTGAATTGATACAAATACAATAGGTTTATGACTTTTTTGGTACTTTTCTCAAATTTTCGTCGCATCTCGTACTATTCCCTCCATAAACCCAACAAAAAAAGGCCCATGAACGTGAGCCCAACCCAAATATCATGCGCCACCAATCCCAGTTGGGGTTTAGGGTTTTCTTCTGCGTCCGTTGCCACCATTGTTCTGCTCCAGAAACCAGCTCCGACCACCGACACACCTCCTCCTTCCTCCTCCTGCGATGGCCAAGAAGAGAGCGAGGCATCAGAATCCACAACCCTTTCTCGCCGGCGACGACGACAACGAAACCGTCGTCTCGTCGAAGAAGCAGTCGAAGCCCGCGAAGAAGCACCAGAAAGAGGAGAAGCTCATATCCTCCGGCATAAGCTCGAAGATATTGAAGGAGGCTCTGCTTCAGCAGAAGGAGGTCCAGGACGAGGCCGATGAGCAGCACAACCCTAGCTTCTCCCGGAAGTTCTTGGAAGGTCAGGGCCAGTTTGCGGAAGGAGAGGAGGAGGAGGACGTCGACGATTTCGCTGGTTTCTCCGAGACTCAGAGTCAGTTCGGCAGTTATGATGTGCGTTCGATGCGAATTCTGCTTGCTTCTTTTTCATCGTAAAAAAATTCGAACTTGAATGTTGGGAAAATTTGATCCCTTTGGATTTCCTTAGGAGGAGATTGACGAAGACGACGAGAAGCTGCTCGAGGCTTTCTTGACGAAGGGTGCCGGTCCCCAACGCACGCTCGCTGACCTTATTGTCGAGAAAATTAAGGAAAAGGATGCCACCGTTGCTTCAGGTTCTTTTCAATTTCTGTAATTTGTTCTGTGTTCGACGAATCACCGACTTAATTGAGTATGTTTGGTTCTAAAGAGTTGTTTCGATGCTGCAGAAGCTCGACCGCTACCTAAGTTGGATAACTCCATCATCAATTTGTATAAGGGGTAACTAATCACGCGCCTAGATTTCGTTTATTTTGAATCTGTACCGTGACTATGTATGCGGGGTCTCGCAAGGGACGAGATGGATGAATGCTGCTTACACAATGTGCAGAGTTGGTGAGTACCTTAGCAAATATACAGCAGGAAAGATGCCTAAAGCTTTTAAGCACATCCCCTCGACACAGATGTGGGAGGAGGTTCTTTACCTCACTGAGCCCGAGAAATGGTCCCCGAATGCCATGTATCAGGCCACCAGAATTTTTGCTTCCAATTTGGGTGCTAGGAAGGCAGAGCGGTTTTACAAGCTCGTCTTGCTTCCTCGAGTGAGGGAAGACATCCGGAAGAATAAGAGACTGCATTTTGCTTTATTTCAATCTCTAAAGAAGTCCCTCTACAAACCTGCTGCATTCAACAAGGGAATATTGTTTCCATTGTGTGAGGTATGTGATGATAGAATCTCTCACTCATGTCCCCATCCTCGGCTTTTTCCTTGGTTTTTACGTTTGCTTAATATTCTACCAAAGCTTACTTGTGTTCTAATGTAATTAATTCATTGAAGTCAGTTTTGACTCACTCTCTAAGCATTATTGCATGTACTGCTTGCTCGCTCTATTGACAATGTTGCTACTTGCTATAGAGATAGAGTTCTTTATTATTTTTCTATAATATATTAATAGAGAGTCCTTCATCATGCTTCGCCTATTTTGCGTCAAACACCATTCTTCACTGACAAAGGAATAACTTGTGCAGTCAGGGACATGTAGTCTAAGAGAAGCTGTCATTTTGGGGAGCATACTTCAGAAAGTGTCTATCCCAATGCTTCATTCAAGGTATTTGACTATTATAATTTGTGTAACATCATGGCTAGTGGCGATGTACTTATATAGTATGTTGTTGGGAATGAGAATGCCAAAGTGTCCGCCAACTGCCACACACTGCACAAGCAAATGAGTATTTTGGTTGTGGCATTTTTTATCAGACTTGTAAAGGCTGTTTTGTAGCATGGTCATGTTTCATGGTGCAATTGCTTATTTTGGAATTATAGGCTATCATCAGTGGTGACCTCTATTGGAGTTCTAAGGATGGGTTATTCTATTTGATCTTCTTCCCCTCCCAACAATTCTGCATGGAAATTTTCAACTCTGATATGCTGGAGTAAGGGGAAGAACATTTGCACAGTTAGTTGTTTGGTAAATGATCCTCGTAGTTAAAGTTGGTGACCATGTCTCTTCAAGGGTTCGCACGTTCTTCCATTTGAATCTAAACTGTACGGGTATATTGTTCTATCTTCTTGTAAGGTATATCTGTGCGGATAGTCTACGTGTTTGTAAAATGTGCACTCCTTTAGTTGCTAGTCTCTTAAAACTCAACGCGCTCTTATTTTAGCACTTTCACTTGTTCTTTTAGGTGTTAGGTCTGACTAAACCTTTAATTGGATTTGCAGTGTTGCTCTATTGAAACTCGCAGAGATGGATTATTCTGGCACCACGAGGTACAGTTTTCCCCTTGTTTAAATAGCTGAATGCATGAAACATGGTTAATGAATGTAATCTGAGCTTATGTATATTATACTCAGATCTGTAACTCTATCCGTAAAATAACACTTGATGATATTTTAGTCAAAGTTCTAATATAGCAGTACTTGATCCGGTGAGACATCCACAAGCTCTCGAGCTCTTGGATCCATTTCACTTAACATCCGTGTCTTTCAAGATAGACTTGCTTTTCTAATAGCACATTGAGTTAGTAGTAGTTGAGCCAGAATCTCAGGTATGTTGACTTATGAACATGTCGAGCTCTAACTAAAAGATCGAACTTGATGTAGATGTAAAAGTTTCAACTAGTGAGGTTGTCGATCAAATCGTGCTCCATTAGTTTTCTGCGCTGCCATTAGTCCACCCAAATGTGCCATATCCCTGGACCATCCTCTCTCTGCATGTCTGGGTCATTAATTATGTGGTTGATTAATAAAAAAGCTGTTATATGACTTGTTCAACCATTTTTTAAAGCTGATCTCAGAATGTTGTGAGGTCAGAATGGTGGAGAAAGTAGATGTGTTACTACAAGGGCTTCATGTCTTCCTTATCCAATTTCGTGCTAGTAGATGCTTGATATACTTCATAATTTATTGAGTAGATTGAGCAGGCAGGATATGTAATTGCCTTGGTTCTTTTTAATAATGAAGGACCTGGTTGAAATTGCGGTTGTTACTAGCAAATACACTAGATATGCTCGAAAGTTAAAACTTTTCGGAGTTGGTATATTTGAGGAGAATCACCTTTAGGCCGATCTTCTTTAGTTATTACCTGTGTTACTGTTGTTGAAATTATCTCAGATTTTCTTGCTTGGTCAAAGAAGAACGAGCCGTCATCGCACTCTGTGGAACTAAATTTATTGTTCTGATATGCAGAATGTCTCTATGTGTTAAAGATATGTAGAAGTGGAAAAGTTCATGAAATGCTTTTGTGGATTAGTTTTTCTTGGGAGCTCCAATAATTTTTTATCACATTTCAAGATTTACCTGTTCTGTATCTTGTTGCAGTTATTTTATAAAGCTTCTCCTTGACAAGAAATATGGATTGCCATACCGTGTTGTCGATGCTTTGGTTGCTCATTTTATGAGATTCTTGGATGACTCGAGGATAATGCCCGTCATATGGCACCAGTCACTTCTTGCCTTTGTCCAAAGGTGAGTATGGCTGTTTGTTCTTATACATTGTTGTCCAGTTCTTTCTATTAAAATATGTCTCGAGTTTGAGCCTGATAGACGAAACCCAACCCTAGATTAATTATTAATCTTGTGAAAGAAACCGGACCCGTGACTTGTTGACCGAATTGTTACTTAGACTCTTCGGCCAAGTGGTTTCCTTTTCTACATTGGAGTCTATGGCTTGAAATAGGAAAGTCCATCAGAAAGGCCAACGTGGACATTGAGATAGACATTGACTCGGTCAACAATGGATCAGAGAAAGAAGAAATAAAATATACGGAATTATTCTCTGCTTTATTGGATTTGGCTAAGGAGATTAGGAAATTGAGGAAAGTCCAACTTGGACTTTGGGTTGACCGTGTCTCACGGATTTGTATTCCTTATTGAATTCGGCCAATGGATGTCCCTTCGGAAATATATATACTTGAACTCGGCCAGTAGATGATGGAGTAGTGAAGCGCTGTTTAAATGAGTGCTTGGCAATCGTGGGTCTTTCTTCGGCAAATTACATCCAAGAATTCGAGTGTTCAAGTCGTGAAAATCTTGTGTTAAGATTTGTGTGTAATTCCTTTGTGAGATTGAGAGATTATTTCGTGAGGAATTGCGAGGCTAAGTACTGCGTGAGTTATTGGGTGTAATTGGGGCTTGGGAAACACTTAGAGTGTTTGAGTGACTTGAGTGTGGCTGTAATCTCCGTTGTATTGCTTGATCTATAGTGAAATTCTGTACTGCTCTCCCCGTGGACGTGGGTCGACATGACCGAACCATGTAACTCTGGTGTCCAATTTATTTTCTTGTTCTGTCAAATTTATTGTTCGATCGCTTGGCTTTCGCAACACTTTCTTTAGATGCCTTATAAGATTAACCTGTTATCGTCTTTGTCGTCCTTTGGTTGGGGGGACATTCTGTGTATACTCCTCTACTTCTCTTTGTTGGGCTTGTTCTTAAATCATTACTGACACCAGCACCTGCACCTGAAGAATCACACCTCACACTCACTTGTGCAAGAGCAGACACTTGTCCATGTGCATGACAAACATAGTAAACACAGAGAGAGAGAGAGAGAGAGAGAGAGAGAGAGAGAGAGAGAGAGAGAGAGAGAGAGAGAGAGGGGGGGGGAGGGAGGGTTAGTTTTGCTGTGGTTTTAGTTCTTAATAGAGATGACAAGTCTGGCAATATTTGGGTATTCTGTGGTTGTCATGTTGTTTATCCCTGTAAGTTGTCTCTATCTTCTTTCTGCGTTCGACATTGTATTGTTAAAAATGCAGGTACAAAAATGAACTGCGGAAGGAAGATAAAGATAACCTGAGGAGGCTGCTTGAAAAGCAGAGACATTATTTGGTAAGAACTTCTTCTAGCGCTTTAATAGGTTGTCTTCCACGACCAAAAAAAAAAAAGGTTGTCTTCAACCAAAGCACGGTGTAGTTGATCATTTTGATCCTTTGACTGCAGGTTACTCCTGAAATCAGTAGGGAGTTGATCAATAGTCGCAATCGTGGAGAGAAAGATGACCCTATGATGATATATATCCTTCTTGTTGGATGAAGCCCTTCTTTTTTCCATTTTTCCCTTTTATTTTCTCGTGGTGTGATCTATGATGATATTGGTGATAGTTTTGCCGTTTTCTCCTTATTGAACTTGATTCATATGTGATAGCCAATAAAATTAGCTAGGTACATGACTGAGAGTTTATGTTTTGTTACAAAACTGTCTCCTTGGCCATGGCGTTTGTGATGACTATTTAGAATTCTGTTCTTCCTTGACTTTTGAATACCTACCCCAGTATCGGTGATTAATAAGACCATTGATGAAGACAGATTTGACATTCCTGAAGTGCCCATGGAGGAAGATTGAAGGGTTACGTGTAGCTTATGTCCTTTGTTGGTATGATGTAGCTAATGCTGCAATTCTTCAAGACCATTGAAGGATTTCCTTCAGGAATCAATCAGTATAGTCCAAAAATCTCTTTCCAGCATGGCGGTTGCCGTTCAAATATAGTCAATGCAATTTTCCGTTACGATTTTTAGTGTTATTAGATTTTTTTTGGGCATGGGGATCAATTGACGATTTACCATGGTGTTTGTACTGAAATTATAATCTTGGCAATGGAAAACCTATACTTAAGATGAGGTCAGAGGCTTGTGCCACAGTATTTTCACAATTTGAGATGCATCAGATGTACAGAAAGGTGTTTCAATGCCTATCCAACTGTCAGATGCACAGATTCAGTGGATAATTCAGTTTCGGAGTGCATTCATAGTGTCTAGTTAATCAATTTTTAATATTTTATGATGTAAAAAACATGTCTTTACTTTGAATTCACGTGAGAAACATGTGCATTGTCCATTTTTTGAGCTGCTTCTATCTGTTTCTAGTGCTATGCTGCTGTTCTATTGCGGAAATTGCAGAGGTCTGTGCTTGTTATGAAATACAAAATCGTTCCAATTCACTTTGAACTTGTTAGATTCTGCTCTTTATTATGTGTCATAAATGCTTGATGTAACTTCTCCTTCTCTTGGGCAGACATATATTGCTGTCCCTGTTATATAAATGCTTCTAGGTGGCTCTTGCGCCTCGATCATTTGTTTGATGGTAAAGAATTGGTGAGCCAGAACAGTCATTTTCTTAGTGCTAGAAGTTCCTGCAGCATATATGTCCTGCTGAAGGAAGTCGAGAGCTCAGACACTACACGCTATGACGTATAATAATCATATTTGTAGTACTCCACCTCTGAATTAGGTTCCATGTTGCTACTCGTTTGTTGGATTCGAACTGTTGATCCAACTCCCTTTGTCATTTTACCTGTGGAGGGTCGGCAAGTCAGCAGCTACCTTCTGTGGTTGATCCAGCAACTCTTTATGTTTTTGAGTGTGCTGCAGATTGGATTGATGGAAAGCAGCTGCCCAACGTAGTTTGTGGGTTCGTGGGCCAACTTCAGTTGTGGGCGAAAATGGCGGAGCGCATATTGTATTGTTTTCTTTTGGTACATTGCCTGGAAAATATGCAGTTGCCTGTTCAATGGTTAACTTGATTAATCCATTCTTGTTTCTTTCCGAGACTAGGATCCAATTTAGTCTCTAGAAGGAGTGCAAGAGGAGCGTCAGCGGCGCATTTTCTCTGTAGCTTCTTGGGAAACCTGTTCAACGACCTCTTTCGTAGTCAAACATCACTGATCTATCAACTTCGTCGTCTTCAGGAAAGTGGTCCATTGCAGCGCCAAAATTGCTTATGTTCGCTCATATGGTTTTCATGATTTTCCAATTATTCTGCCCACCTTTCTACTTGGTTTCTCTGATGATAAAGATCAGATTGACGAAGCCCTTGGGTGACGGATGGAGGCAAACGTTGACCTACCATTGCTTGAAAAACCAATGTTCCTTTGTGAGAGAGTAGAACCTGCGGATTAAGTTCCTGGAAGTTGCTTACATTCACCTGAAATTCTGGGGAGATTCCTGGCCACCAGTTCTAGTGGGTAAGGCGTGGGTGTCCATGCTCCTCTCTTTTCAGATCACAACTTTTGTTCAAACGACCTAAATTCCCCGCAAATCCGGCCAAAGACTTTTCCATATTCCTGTTGGAAGTTCATGAAGAATACTCTTAGAGGAAACGAAAGGAACCCCTATTTTCTTTTTCTTGATAACGGAGAGGGAAATTTGCACCGTCCTTACTCCTTATTTGCGTCGGTTGTGGCGGATAAACTCCTTCCAACAGCGTGAGGTTACCACCTCCCCCACGCTCAGATGTGATCAGGGCATTGCCTTGGGAGGGATTCGAACTCGCACCGGCTGTGCGGTCGAAGAAGCGCCCGGCCACGGAGGCAACACTCCGTTGGGTAGATGTTGAGCATTGTGATTCCTTCTGAGTTTGCAAGGTTTAGTGTAAGCGAGTCCATAACATTGACTCGGTAATTTGTGTGGTGCGTGGTCGTGATTTAGGCGTACGACATCAATTCAATTTCACATATTATCAAGTGACCCGCGAGTCTTTTTGCTCGCCTGCTTGAGATTCTACACGCGAAAGTGGTTTCCTAGTAAAAAAAAGACAAATATGTTCGTTAACAACCTAAGGATAGTTTAGTGGTTCACCGTTTTCAAGTCATAGCGTTTCATATTCATATTAACCATGTTACGGGGTTGTAATAATTTTGAAGATTCAAAAAAGCGATTGTGTAAGCGGATTAGACTATTCGTGTTTATCCAAGTTTCTGCTGCATCACCACGGGGGTTAATGTCTGTGATCCACATATCAATGTGGTGACTAGGGCGAACCTATGCAGACTGATCAAGTCGAAATATTCCAATTTTGTATGTTAGAAGAGAAATGTTGAGTGTGGAAGAAAATGGGAGAATTTGATATTTTGTTGCATGCAAATATCATTGGGCTAAAAAAGTAGATACTAGTGCTTTGTTTATTTCGTGAAAAATGAATGATTTGGAAAGTATTTTCATAAAAATGATCGCCTATATCGCTTTAAATAATTAGTCGATAAAAAATATTTTTATTATCGCCAATAATTTACGTCCAAATATTTTCATGGACGATGAAAATATTTTTCGTTCATTTATATTTATTAAAGATAAAAGCAATCATTTTTAGGAAAATATTTTCTAAATCACTCATCTTTCGTGAAACTAACGCACCCTAATAATCATCATCTTTCAAGAGGCATACGTCACAACTGGTATATATAAAGATGGGTTAATACTACAAAAAACCCTAAACTAGTAGATCTGTGACAAATTTACCCTAAACTAATTTTTTGACCACCAAAAACCCTAAACTGATACACCTGTGACAAATTTACCCTCTGTTAGTTTTTGTTAAATTTTACTGTTAAATTACTTTGTTAAATGACACGATATATTAATTTTAGGTTTTATCCTCTGTTTGTCACATGTGTACCAATTTGTGATTTTTTGATGTATTGATCCAATCTAACGGAAATTAACAGAGGGTAAATTTTTCATAAATGTACCAGTTTGGGGTTTTTGGTGGTCAAAAAATTAGTTTGAGGTAAATTTATCACAGGCGTATTAATTTGAGATTTTTCGTGGTATTAATCCTATAAAGATTGTCACTCTCTTGTGTGGAGAGTAATATATGTTAATTATGTCACTCGTGTTGGGTGATTATTGGGTAAAACCAGCTGTGCTTGGGAAACTTTTCAGGAATCCAGTAGCGTCAAGGCAAATAGATCTTCCTACCATATTTAGTGAACTCCATGCGAACCAATGGAGACTCACCTCTTCACTTGCACGAAGGGACACTAGCTTAGGTTACAGAGCTTGGTATTTGTAGGTGTCGGACCTTCAAAAACAATTACTTGTGTGGAAAGGAAAATCCATCTGTAGCTTGGACCAGTGAAGTGCAGACAGATGATGCTTCTCAATTGGCATGCAAATCGTTCGAAAAGCTCAAAGCTTGTTTGTTTAAGCTCTTAGGAAACATGGCGAATTGGTTGGTTTGAGTAGGTTGATTGGTTTTTTGCACTTCTTATAGCAGATTGATTGATGAATAATCGCCTTATTTTATCTTTTATTCATTTTTATCTGCATATATTGCATCATCTGGCTCGTCACGGTCCATGGATTGTTTAGCCTCGTCGATCGTTTCGTTCCCTTTTATATATTTTATGTTGTATTTCCTCTCCCTCTTCCTCTTTCCCCTCCTGTTGCTTTTGAACCTATTGAATCGCACGTGGACAACCTAGGCAATTATCCAACCAAAATCAACCTAGAAGTCTCCTTTAATAATTGAATGTGTGTGGACACCTGCCAATTTGAGCACCACAAGATGCATCTACCCCTCCTCCTCCCCTCCTCCCCCGTTTTATATGTATCATTATACAGCTTTCTTTTGGATTTGGGTTCCCATTTTCTTCATAAAAGTTTTGATCTTTCACGTGGTTGCCACGGGAATTTCTCATTCTAAAGAGAGTTAGAAAGAGTTTTGGAGTATACAAAAAGAGAGAAGTTTGAGATTTTATACCTCTGGATTCGGTTGATCAAGTAGATTCTGTACATTCGATATGTATAAATCAACATGCTTAGAAAGTTAAAGCTAAAAAGCGCGTATTTACTAGATGATCTAGGAAATCATATATTTTTGAAGTAACTTTTTCCCGAATTTTGACAAGTTATTCATCTGAATATGACTATATTTGGATTTTGCCACATCTCTTAGTTGGTCGTGCTCAAGTTATGATTATCCATGTTTATCATATGCTATACGTGCAAAGTAAAACCCTAGGGTCTAGGATACTCGGATTAGCAGCAGAAACACCAATGTCAAACGCCTTTCCAGTTCTTTAAGAGGTACTTTTCTCACAAATTTCTTCTGATCTTGTCTTTTCTTAAGAAAAAGGTGGAAGAAGCATTGGGATAGCTGTCGTCTCTCCATCTTTCGATCAAGCACACATGAACGATCTAAGCAAACCAACACAAAGTGGAAGAAAAGAAGGAGCTGTGGTACACTGTTTCCTCGGAACATAACAACGATGTCCGGTTACACCTGTAAGAATGCTACAGAACTTCACTAGAAAAGGAACAACAACACTTGTTGCTACCAAGATTACAAAACCAAAAAAGAAGGGGCCACCATTAACCACCTACCGCTATATTAGGGAAGTGGGTGATGGCGATTGCTGGCTTGGATGGAGAGGGATATTCCACTTTTGGTTTAAAGAATTATGCAGGTCATTCCTCAACTTCACCAACCAGACACCAAACCTCTCAATATCTTCTAGGAACCTCCCCATTAATGGAAGCCTTAAGTGTTGGTATTGACCCCACGAGGATGCAACTTGAAGGATGTGGGTTCTGAGCAAAAGAAGTTTCATGGTGAGTGGTGAGGAAGAATCTGTGGATGGCTGAAGATGATCGACCCTTTGGAATCGACTCTCAAATGCCCAGTGTTGATCACCACAGAGTGAAGTTACAATCTTTGAGATCCCCCCAAGAAAAGGACAAGTACAAAGCGAGGTGCATTATATTTGTAATAGAATGATCTTTTGATGCATAGCTTGTTTACCATCAATCACTTGGGCGCATAATTACGTTCTCTAGACCACTTTTTCGAGGAAAAAGAGAGAAAATCAAGAAATGGATGTTGGTCCATTGAATCGAAAGAAAGGAAAAGAATCTCTTTTTGTTTGGTGGAATAGATTTTCAAAGTTAACTATTCATCGTTACGATTAGGCCAAAAGGATTGTAACACGTGTTGCGTTAAAAATTCAATCACATCAAGATTATTTCAAAAAGTAACCCATCTAAAACCATTTTGAAAGCGATACATCAAGATGGTCGATAATAAAAGAAGGGGGTATTCTTAAAGTTTTCCAAGGAGCGAGGCGCATGTCGAAAAATAATACTTGAGATATTAATACAAGAAACTCGCTTATAAAGTGATGTGGTGGTTTCTTATTTGGGCTTGAATATGGCTCACCTACTTTTTACACTGATCTATAATTTTACCATATCATTTGGTAAATTGAGTTGGTCATCAAGATTCATACAGAATACGATTCACTATGTGATATAGCCACAAAGACGATCTTCAAAGTGGACCCAAACCCATGTTTACTTTTAGTAAGAAAAGAGGAAAAAAGAAAGAGGGGACAGTTACTGGGTCAAATCAATCTTTTCCAAAAAGAAAAACACGATGCCACCCATCAATCCACTCCGCTGTTGGCTCGTATGAGGAGGACATTGCGCTTTCCCATTGGCAGTTGATGAAACCCAACATTTTGGAATGCCCGCCAATCCCGCTTTGCTCGCCCTTCTTAATACTTCAAATCAAATGCCTGTCCCAATCTTCATCTATATAATACGTCATCTGCGAAAGTAGGCATTAAATCTTACAGGTGTTAGGATTCGGTACATTATCACAAAGCATAAAAAGTAAATATAAGAAAAAGAAATCGATACACGAGATTTTTAACCCGATTCATTTTTAAATTAGGACTACGTCCAGTTAGATCCCTGTATCTTCCAGTCAATAAGGAGTATGAACCACACTCCAACAACAGGAATTCATTAGATGCCCCATGTCATGATCAATTAGTGTAATCAAGGTATTAGTATGATTAATCTAATTGGCAATAGTACGTGCAGCGATTTCATTCCTCTGTTTTCGATAAATCAGACAAAATTTGGTGACTGTCGGGCTGTTTTTGCATGTGTGGAGGATCTGTCTTAGCATGGAAACATAGGGAGCTAAACGCCTTTCCTTTTTTCATTGGAACATGATGGGTTAGTTCACCATACTTTTGTCCAGATCAAGAAAAGTTTGATTGGCATCTTCCATTTGGCATAATCCTCAATGTATTCAGAAGATATTTTATGGGACAAACACAATGAAGAGTGCATCTAAACCATGCAAGGCCATTATATTTTCCCACGACCAAATAATGAGTTAGAAGATGTGAGTGAGATGAGCTATGTAAAAGAAAAGGCTATGAGTAAGTCGTACCCACAACGAAGGAGTTTTGCTTAAAAACAAAAATATGGACGCACGAAATTGGTTTAAAATCAAGGCTATATACTGAAAGTTAACTATTTATTATAGGCAATCAATATCAACTTCTCAATAAGTGTATATCACATTATTTCATGAGTTAAAACTGAAAATCAATCTCCATATAGGTCCCACAATGCTATGAATACCCACCCATGGTCGGTGAAATGTGAATAAAAGAATTCAGAAATAGGTTATTTCCATCAAATCAATGTTTTTGCTCTCACTCACGAAATTAGTCTTTTAGTAACGATCAGTGTCCAGTGACATATTCAATATTGACACGAGCATCGCATACTCTTCTTCGCAATTGATTGTGCAACAGATACAATTATTTTCTCCTCTTTGAGGCAGAGAGATAAATCCCGAAAGCAAAATAATAGCGCAATGAGAAAAATAACCAAAGGCTTAGCTAGCAATAATGATGAAATCTGGGAATATACAAGCTAAGAAATGAGAGGAGAGCAGAACAGAGTATAAGAGCAAGACCGAGAGACAGAGTCATGAAACAGATGTACAAATATGGTAATGTGCCTGTAAACGTTGTTATTGTTACACACATACACGAAAGCAGAGACAAGAACAGAGAAGCGAGAGAATAAGCAGAAACCAGCTGAGCTCTCAGTCCTACCAAAACTACTCTCAAAGCTACGAGCTCGGTTCCTCAAAATCTCTCACTCTCACCCATTTTGAAAAAGACAAAGTTTCGAAGAACGTCCACAAAGTAGATGGATGTTACTCCGTGACTGTGTGTGAGGAAGATTCCCGGGGACGTATATGCAAATCATCCCTCTGTGAAATCCTCCTTTGATCTTAATTCGATCTCAAGCCTGCTGCGCCAAATCCTTGGCGCTGATGAACGTGCCGTGGAACCCGTAGGGGACTCGCGACGGGAGCTGGACTGTCACCTCCAGCTCCAGAGTCACGGCGTTCACGATCTGTAGCTCCGACCTCCACTCCTTCTCGTCGTGCACGAACGCCAACACGTATCCGTCGTCCTCTCCGCTCCCTGAACTCGCCTCCCTCGGCAGGAACAGGGGCTCGCCTCCGTACCTCTGCTCCCCGTACATGAACTTGCGGACCTGCCCCGTCGCGAGGTCCACCTTCGCGAACCCCGACACCTTCGGCCATGGCTCGGCCAGGGCCAGGTACGCGAACTGGGTTTTCCTCCCGAGCCTGTTCCGGTTCACCATTCCCGCCTCCAGGTTCACTTGCTCGCTCTCGTCGCTTATGATCGGACGCCGCATCGACTCGCCAGTCTTCAGATTGAGCCTGATCTCGGACAACACGCTCTTCAGGCTCTCGTCCTGCTCGTTGAAGATTGAGTCTGGTGGCGTCATGCACGAGCCGATCACGACGACTTCGTCGCTCTCCGGCTCTTCCCAGGCGTTCCAGAGGTGGAAGCAGAAGCAATCCGGCACGTCGATCCACCGGATTCCGGATGCGTCGTCCGCGTACTTGTCCATGATTCCAAACCTCGACGTTTTGGCTTTGTTGTAGATCACTGGAGATCCGCCGCGGACCATCTCGTTCAGCTTGAACACCACCTGCTGGTCTGGGATCACCACGAACTGCTCAGTGATCGCGAAGTCGTGCATCATTGTCGGCTCCGCGAGGGGAATCTCAATATCCAGTGACTTCCTCCCGTCTGGCGAGAAGCGGAAGTAGTTGAGGTAGGGCTTCTGGACAACGTCGTAGCTGAGGGCGAAGAGCTCGCCTGAGACAGGGTCGAGCTTTGGGTGGGCGATCATCATGGAGTCCAGCTGGCTGCCGAAGTCGTAGCGGCCGATGGTGTCAAGGTCACTGGCAGCGGTGATGCGGACATGGTAGGGCATGTCATCCTCCGACATGGCGAGCAGGCAGCCATTGAAGTACACAAGGCCCGCGTTGGCAACACCGATGCCATGGCCATGGTCGAGGAGGCCGCAAGCACCGCGAGCATAGAAGAGAAGGAGCCTGGCGATGCCGAAGTGGCCATGGAGCTCGCCGATGGCTTTGGGGAAGATTGGACGGCCGAGGGCCTGCTCCTGGACAAAGCGGTGTGTCTTGGTGAAGCGGCAGGCGTAGCTGGCAGAGCCATCAGCAAGATGGACGGCGTGGATCATGCCGTCGCCGTCGAACAAGTGGTGGCCGGCAACTGGCTGATAGAGCGGGTTGGCCCCGTTCCGCACGTACACGCCTTGGATGCAATCAGGGATCTTGCCAGCCACAGGAAGCGAGTGGCAGACGGGCTGCTCGGGCACCGGGGCAAAGTTGCCGGAGATTTGGACCCGTGGGTCTGACGTCTTGGGGAGGGGCTGCTCGAGCTCGTGGGAGACGAGGGCGTTCTCGACGGCGTCTAAGGCTGCGGACGCGAATTTCTGCAACAAGTTCCATTGCACCGGAGTCTCTTTGCCATGAGGTTTTGAAGTGGAGGGAGGAGCGGCAACGGCGGTTCTTGACGGTTGGACTGTCAATGGTTTCTTGGGGAGGAGGAGCTTGGGGGGCGTTTGGAGAGAGCAAGTGATTCTTCTGGGCTTTTTGCTGGGCCCGTGCAAGTCCAATTCAACTGAAAGCGAAGAAGAAGAAGACTTGGATGGGATTGGAGGAGAGAACCATGTGGTTGCTGCAGTTGGAGCCATGCCTTTGATGAGAGTGCACGAATTGGGTAGAAGAAAGATGAGTCTTTGGTTGGGTTCGAAGTTATATCGACTGCTTTTGGTTGGTCATGGAGGATTTGAGATAGAGAGAGAGAGAGAGGGAGTGAGGAGTGAAGAGGAGAGAGTTGGGCATATATATAGGGGGAGAGAGGCGAACCGGAAATGAGGGTCCACCTCAGAAAAACAATGGGAGGGGGAAGACCACGTGTTAAATTAAATGAAACCCCACCCCCCGGGAAAGAGAAAGAGAAAGAGGAAAAGAACAGAGAAGAAATGGACACACCGTGAAGAAAGAGTAACAAGAACATGAGAAGCTTCCTCAGTTATCGACACGACCACCGTCTTTCCCCCGGCTCGATGCAATTTCGCACTTAGGACTCTTCCAATCTTCATTTGGAAACCATTTGTCAATGAGAACTAACTCATTTTGGTAGCTTGAGCAGATAATAGATAGAGTCTGATCACTGTTTAGCTTGCCACTTGAGGAGCTTTGATAACTCATTTGGCATAGCTAAGCAACTAAACATACTTTGATGATGATGATTAAGCCCTTCAAAAAGGGTCTACACCGCCTGGGGAGATAATCATCTCCAATCGTCATTTTCTCATCTCCTTTGGCGATAGAGATCCCTTGGGTCCCCGTTCTCCTTTACCGACCGACGATCAATAAAAATAGCTTAAATTTGTGGGACACTAAATGAAACGGGACTATAATCTTCCGCTTACGAGCTAAGTGATGTGTCCCTCCTTCCATGCTTATTATGAGGCATCTTTATAATAATTGATTTAGTGTCATGGGATGAGTCCGAGCCGCTCCGAAAGGTGAAAATATTTCGTTTTATATTTTATCATCACGAGAGATTAGGAAAAGCAACATCCTCAAGAAATTGTGTACGCCTCTCTCAACTAAAAGGCAAAGGATGCACTCACTGATTGATCCCTATTTCTTTTCTTCTTTTTTTATCTTGTCCCCACTTGAATCAAATAAATTTTTCTTACATAATTAAGTGCGAATAAAGAACAAGTAGGTGTAACGTTTAAGTGTTCCTTCTTAGCCAACGAGTTTATATATGTTGAGGTATCCTAACTTTAAGAAGGCGTGTATTTTTTTTTTTTTTGGCTTTTGCTATGTCTAAGAGGTTGATGACGAATTTTCACATTCATATATGTACATACTGTATCCTAAATCAAACGATGTGCATCGTTATGAATCATAGATAAAAGTGTTTTGACAAAATTGTAATGATCTCATATACAAGTAGAGTTGAATCAATATATAAAGAGGGAAAAAGTCTTGTAAAACCCATTCCGTGATAGTTTCACATGATAGCTACATCTTTACATTTTCTTAATGATCAGTAGAATACATCCATCATTATTTGCGTCCCACTTCTTATATATAATATCTGTTCGCTTCTTCTTACAAAATTCCAGAGAGACCATTTTCAAAAAGATCCTCGTCATGTGCTTAAAAATCATGGTCATCAACCATATCTATCCGTAGCAGCTTAATCACTCGATAATGCTTTTCCATACTGAAGAGGACCAAGACCAACGAGCATGCTTTTGAAAGCACTGGGCAGTGTACATACATTAATACATGGTCGATGCAGATCACGTGGGATCGAAGGCCGTTTGCTCGAGCATACACGTGACATGTATGAGACAGTGTTGTTGAGCCGCCTGTTGTAGTGGGTCGATATTATTGCGCAGGGGATGATAATGATGAACCCATGATCCATTATAAGTGGGAGATTTCACATGATATAGGACTTTAATTCATATCCATCCATTTTGTTAAAGCATATATGTATGTGGCTTATCATACTGAATCAAGATATCTCATAATTTAGAGGCTACTTGCGAAAATAAATCATAGACTATATAAATCATTAGCCAACGGTATAAACATATATATGGAAAATATTCACAGCACCATCCGATTTTATCAGTTTCGATCACTTAGATCATACACTATCATTACAAAAAGGCTTCTGACATGTATACTCACAGGTGGTTACATGGATATACACATCTTGATTCCAACAGAGCTTGTGTAAGAAGAAAGATTACGCTTACATTAGTTCAAAAAGTCAAGGTTCTATAAGAATTTTCCTGTATGTGGGCTATATTAATTAAGATTGTAATTAACCGTTTACGGGCTTGGTCTAATAATGTTGGATATAAGAAATCTTAATCAGTCTGATATGGGCTTAACTTGTGTGGGCCGAGTTGAGCCCGGCCCGTTATGAGAGAGCATGGCTGGAAACTTTATAAATAGAGCTGGAGGTCCCTCCTCTATCCCAACTCTCTCTCAAACACTCTCAAACCTCACAGACGGTACTTGTGAGGGCTGAGGCGGTCTCATAGCGCTAGGGACTCCGGGGGTTATAGGGGAGAAGAGCTCCAGCACCTGTTCATCGTCATTTCCGCATCCAGAGACGATGGATTGCAAAACAGGTACATAAATTCCGTCTATTTTTTTACCGAACCATCTATTTCTTGCTATGGCGATCCTAGGACGCTCGGCCGCGCCTCACGGATGACCAATAGGTTCGGAATATGATATGACAAAACTTGGGTTATGGTACCACTAAAACAACAAAGATCGGTGGGGCGGCTGATGATAATCAAATTTATGGACGGTATGAAGAGAGATATGTACTTGTATAAGTCCAGTGAAATAGCCATACATGTATATGATAATTATAAGAAGGCGATCGTTTTGCTTCCACAAGGATGCTGCAGAAGCCGCCCTTCATGTGCAAAGATTTTGTGCCCTCTTGCACGCATAATACTCATGGACTCACCTGTCCACATGGCGCCTCACATGCTTTTCACTCTTTAATTATTTTTTGCTACCCTCAAAGATTTGGTATCTCCATTATTGTCAACCCCCACCTTATTGTAATCTCAAGTTCTCCTCGTCTCGTCTAACTAGCTTATGTTCATGTTGATTAACAAAGTAGGGGTAAGCGCGGTTCCAGGGTAGAATCGCGAATCGGAAAACCGGACCCGGTGGGTCCGGTTCGGTTCCAGGTTCCATGGACAGAGGGTTCGGTTCTCAGTTCCCCATTTTTAGGAACCGGCTGTTCCGATTCCGGTTCCCGGTTCCTATAGGAACCTGGAACCGGAATTGGAACCAAGAACTAGGACCAGGAATCAGATCCCTAAAGGTTAAAACATAAACTACATATTTAGTATTTAGAAACCCTAATTCCCAAATGCTTGCTTCTCCTCTTAAATCACCCGATCCTCCATCATTGTCCCTCCAAGCTCGCTCCCGCTTCCGCTTCTGCCTCGCTCCTCGCTCCTCGCTCCCGCTTCCGCTTCTGCGGTTCTCTCCCACTTCGGCCTCGCTTCGCCTTCTTCGCCGCAGGTCCTGTGATCTCCCCAGGCGGATTCGCTCAAATTATTCGGGCTCGCCACCGTCTTCCTCCTCTGAAGCTCCGTCGCTCTGGTACGTAACGTCTTCGAACAACCCCTTGCCATTCACGCCTTCTCTCTTTGAATTCCCGCCATTGCTTCAGTTCATCTTTAGCATCGATCGATCGAATTCAGTCACGACGATCGTGCCTGAGCTGCGTGAAATCGTGCTCTTGTGTGCACATTCATTTGGATTCATCGCCTAGTAGAAATGAGACGAGGAACGACGATGAATGGATGACGAAGCTGTTCCGAACTCGAAATTCTAGTCATTCGGTTTCGATATTCAGTCAAGATCACGCTCTTTCGCGCGATTGGAAAATGTAGGAAGCGACTGCGTTGTTTTTCTGTATGGCACGAATCCTATTTTCTACTTGCTATGAAATTCGCAGTAAAATTTATATGAAGTTACCTATGAAAAACTCAAGTAAAAGGAATACATTTGCTTTGGATGTATTCACAGTGTAGCGAGAGTTTAAAAGGAATATATTAGGACATGTGTCTTTGAGTCATTTCGTTGGGAAAGTTCCATTCAGAGGAAGGTGATTTGGAGTGAAAGCGAGGTTGTTCTAGTTTTATATCATTACTTCGGCATACGGAGTTGGAGGTTCTTGGAGCAGTTGGCTCATCCTTTAAGCTTGAAATCCTTATAAGCATAATTGGAGGATCACCGGCCCTGGTCATGTGCCTATTCCATGTAAATTAACTTTTCTAGCTTCATCTTTACTGTTTCCTTTCAGTATTGCAGGTGGTGGAGGAGCTTGGAGGAGCAACTTACTTTGATGACCAAAAACAAAAAATTTTCTACTTTGGAGGAGCTTGGAGGGGAGTATGTTTTGTACTTTTTGTTGAGAAAAATGTGGCATCTTACCTTGGAATTTAAAGTCATATGTATTGCATCCCAACAATTGCCATTTATCTTTCTATCCCCTTTCTTTTAAGAAAAATGTGACTTTTCAATAACTAGTCTTTTGTATTCTTTTTTATGAATGTTCATTTTCGTTTTGATTAACTAAAAATAAAATAAAAAAAAGAACCTGTTGGAACCTGGAACTGATCCTGAAACCTGTAATAGGATAGGTTCCAGGTTCTAGATTCCAAAAAATGAGGAATCTGTACCCAATGGTAAGTTTCAGATTCTAGGTAGGACCTATGAGGAACTTGAAACCGCTCACCCCTATAACAAAGTCCCTCTGCTGGCAGTTATATGTTGCTGATCTGATTTCTGGCTCCCAAACCTTCCAACAGTCAACACCCATCATTATCAATTGGGGTTGAGAGATATGCTCCACTCATAACCTGACTTCATGTGTAATCAATGTAAGGTAGTTGCTGCTAGTTGGTATATATAATAAATAGCGGATTCTCTTCTTTTTTTCTCGAGTGCAGGTTGTGCATGTTCTTTAGTTTACTTCATCATACTGATGTAAAGTATATGCTGCATGAAATTCTTTTATTTCTTTCAATCATTTATATTCCCCTCCATGATACGACATGATGGGTTGTGTTGATTTAGGGTTTTACTTTGTTATCTGAAAATATTCGGCTGCCGTCTTCTGCAAAAACGAATAGATATTGCAATTGGGTAATGATTACCGTCCATCATGTGCAGAAGAAAGGAACCCAGAGGACCGTAACATTTGATTGCAATATTTTTGTCATGAAAAATCAAGGTC